GGCTTTCTGGCTGTTACCTCCTATCCACAATGGGTTACTAACATCGTGCTCGTACCTAAGAAGGACGGAAAAGTCAGAATGTGCATGGACTATCGGGATTTGAACAGGGATAGCCCCAAAGATGATTTTCCGCTACCGCATATCGACATTTTGGTTGACAATACAGCTCAACACAAGGTGTTTTCCTTCATGGATGGATTCTCGGGATACAACCAGATCAAAATGGCCCCCGAAGACATGGAGAAAACTACCTTTGTCACGCAATGGGGTACCTTCTGCTACAAAGTGATGCCGTTCGGACTGAAGAACGTAGGGGCAACCTATCAACGCGCCATGGTAGCTTTATTTCATGATATGATCCATCATGAGATCGAAGTTTACGTAGACGACATGATAGCCCGATCACAGATAGAAGAAGAACACCTTGGTCATTTGCAAAAGCTGTTTGCCAGGTTGAAGGAGTATAAACTCAGACTGAACCCAAGCAAGTGCACTTTTGGAGTTAGGTCTGGTAAACTTTTGGGATTTATTATCAGCAACAAAGGCATCGAGGTTGATCCAGATAAAGTGAAGGCTATACAAGAAATGCCTACCCCCCGTACTGAAAAGGAGGTTAGAGGATTCTTGGGACGCTTAAACTATATCGCGAGATTCATCTCTCACCTGACATCTACCTGTGAGCCGATCTTCAAACTGTTAAAGAAAGATCAGGTGGTTGAATGGAACAATGATTGTCAAGTTGCTTTTGATAAGATCAAGGAGTACTTACTAGAACCTCCTATTCTGATGCCACCCGTCGAAGGAAGGCCGTTGATCATGTATCTGACTGTTTTGGATAACTCAATGGGGTGCGTGTTGGGCCAACATGACGAGTTTGGCCGAAAAGAGCATGCCATTTATTACCTTAGCAAAAAGTTTACCGACTGTGAGACTCACTACTCACTGCTCGAGAAAACTTGCTGCGCTTTGGTATGGGCTGCTCGCCGGCTAAGGCAGTACATGTTGACTCACACCACTTTGCTGATTTCTAAAATGGATCCGATCAAGTATATCTTCGAGAAGCCTGCTTTATCTGGAAGAATCGCTAGATGGCAAATGATCCTGAAAGAGTATGATATCCAGTATACTACCCAAAAAGCTATAAAGGGGAGGGTACTAGCTGACCATCTAGCTCATCAAGCCGTCGAAGATTACCAATCTATGAGATTCGACTTCCCTGACGAGGACATCATGACTTTGGACAACATCAAAGGTAACGGACCGTATGACGGACCTGAATAAGGATCCCGATGGACCCTGTGCTTTGATGGTGCTTCAAATGCACTTGGCAACGACATCAATGCGGTACTCATTTCTCCGGAAGGTTTCCATACACCTTTCACTGCCCGACTTTGCTTCAGCTGCACCAACAACATGGCCGAATATGAAGCCTGTATCTTTGGTCTCAAGGCTGCAATTGACTTGGGAATCAAATCTTCTGTCGTATTTGGGGACTCAGCTTTGGTTATCAGTCAAATCAAAGGAGAGTGGGACACTAGACATCCGAATCTTATCCCATACAAAGAACATATCCTGACATTGTTGCCTCATTTCGAGCAGATTACCTTTGAGCACTTCCCGCGAGAAGAAAATCAGCTAGCAGATGCTCTGGCTACAATGTCTTCCATGTTTAAACTCAACTGGGATAACGAGGCTCCCCAAATTACCATCGAGCGAATGGACGAACCTGCGCACTGTCATGAGATTAATACCGAAGAAGTAGTGGAACAACCCTGGTTTCATGAAATCAAAAGGTATCTCCAGACTAGAGAATACCCTGAAGGAGCTTCCGTTAATGACAAAAAGTTCTTAAGGAGATTTGCTGCCAAGTTCTTCCTAAGCAATGACATCCTTTATAAGCGTAGCCATGATTGTGTTCTCCTTCGTTGTGTGGACAAAGATGAAGCAGAGTTGATCATGACCGAGATACATAGTGGCACATTTGGCACCCACTTGAGCGGACATACGATGGCTAAAAAGATTCTAAGGGCAGGCTACTAATGGTCTACCATGGAAGCTGATTGTCATCAACATTCCCGTACCTGCCATAAATGCCAAGTCTACACCGACAAGGTACATATTCCTCCTGTTCCTCTCAACGTTCTGACAGCTCCTTGGCCATTCGCAATGTGGGGCATTGACATGATTGGAGAGATCAAGCCCACGGCATCCAATGGACATCGCTTCATCTTGGTCGCTATTGACTATTTTACCAAATGGGTCGAGGAAGCTTCCTTTGCCTCCGTTACAAAGAATATGGTTGCCCGCTTCATCAAGCAGAAACTCATATGCCGGTACGGTGTCCCCGACAGGATCATCACAGACAACGGTACGAATTTGAACAATACTATGATCACCGCTCTATGCGAGCAGTTCAAGATTTATCATCACAATTCATCTCCATACCGGCCGAAGATGAACGGTGCTGTTGAAGCCACGAACAAAAATATCAAGAAGATCATTCAAAAGATGACAGTCACCTACAAGGACTCGCATGAGATGTTACTGTTTTCTCTACATGGATACCGTACCACGGCACGTACTTCAACAGGGGCAACCCCATTTTCTTTGGTGTATGGCATGGAAGCTGTGCTACCCATGGAAGTTCAGATTCCTTCCTTAAGGATTATGAAGGATGCTGGTTTGAGCGAAGACGATCAGATTCAGACCCAGCTTGATCAAATTAATTTGATCGACGAGAAGCGACTTACTGTTGTCTGTCATGGTCAGACGTATCAAAAACGCATGATCAAGGCTTTCAACAAGAAAGTAAGACGTCAGGTATATCAAGTCGGAGATCTTGTAATCAAGCGGATCATCTTGCGGCAAAGTGATCCCAGGGGCAAGTGGACTCCTACTTACGAAGGACCATTTGTGATTAAGAGCATCTTTTCTGGTGGGGCAATGATTCTGACCACCATGGACGGCGACGATTTGCCGCACCCTGCGAACGCAGACATAGTCAAAAGATACTACGCATAAAACGACCCGACAAGTTGAAAACCCGAAAGGGCGACTTGGGCAAAAATGGGCATCCCGGTGAATCGAAAACCCGAAAGGGCGGTTCAGGCAAAAATTAGGGATAAAACAAAAATTTGTACACCCGGCAAGTTGAAAACCCGAAAGGGCGACTTGGGCAAAAAAGGGCTTCCCGGTGGATCGAAAACCCGAAAGGGCGGTCCAGGCAAAAGTTAGGGAATTAAAGCGTATGACTATGTCTTGTCGGATCACTTTAAGAACAATCTCTTCACCAACAAGCTCCAAGCTTCTGATCAATCCAGTCATCGGAGGACGAAGCAGCGAATGGACAAAATATTCAGAGTTGTGAAGGCTATAGCAGAATGGGAATCTCATGGAATTGTTACACATAGCCATCTTTCTTTTGTATAAAATTTTTCAATTTTTACGACAACATTCTCTTACTAGGATGTCTGTCTCCTTTGTACAAAAATACTCACAAAAGTTAATACAAAAATACTTCAAAGTGTAGAAATTTGCTTGCCTTTCTTTTCTTTTTTTCATTTATGTTTTATTTGAAAAACGTCCAATGTTTTGTTAAATAGGCATATGCATTTGAATATAATCACTACTTACAAATAAAACAATTTGAAAAAAGGATAATTACTGATAGGTTGAAGGAGTAGGAAGAAATCTTTATGCCATTCCAGAAGAAATCCCCTATGATACATCATTCGGATCCTCAACAAGGTTAAATATGGAGTATATTTCCCCAACGAAGTTAAGCTTCAAGATCCGCAACGGAGCCAGTGCAGTCTAAAACTTGATTCCCCAGCTGAGTTAATTCCCATCAGAATTAAGCTTCGAGATCCCCAGTAGAGCCCGAAAACCTTGAAAATCCTATCCCCAGCGGAGCCAGAATAGTGAACATTCTCCCCACAGAGTTATTTCCCAGCAGATTGAAGATTCTCAGTCTCATTTCTCCAGCAGAAGTCTCCCAGGTTTTAACTTCCCAGTAGAGATTTTCAGAGTTTTCCTTATTCCCCTAAGCAGTCAGCAGTCAGCAAGGATTTCTCATCTTCAAAGATTTTTGGAATCCCCAGCTTTGGTCAAGGATTTACTTTCCCCGACACCAATCAAAGATTTCATTATCTCCAGTTATCAAGGATTTATTTTCCTCAACAAGACAGTTACTCAGCTTACATGTGCAACCATTACATTCATACACTACAATAAAATTGGCAGATTGCGACAGGTATTTTTGTAGATTACGACGGTTAAAACCGTCGCAATTTGCTTTCCACGACGGTTGCTTTACCGTCGCAGAAGTGTGTGTCCCCAACCTATTTCGCGACGGTTACAAAAACTGTCGTTCAAGTTTACGACGGGTTGATACCGTCGTGACTATCTTTTGAGTTTCTTTTAATTATTGATGGCGACGGTTCGATACTGTCGTGAATATCTTTTGAAATTGATTAAATTGTTTAATTAGTTTCTCACTTTTGATATTGAGATCTTGTATAGTTGAACCCTTTTGTTGGGGAAGCATGGGGTGAGTTCTATATGTCAATGTCTAACATCTACAGAACATTGATACATGTAGTTATATTCAATTATTTATAATTCTAGAAAATATTGACGTGTTTATAACTGCATAACCTTTATGACCTACATTTTTCTTGGTTCAATTCAAGCAGTCCGAAAAATATGCAGTGTGAGAGTGTTATAAACTCAATCAGCTAGCTCTCAAGAAACACCAATTTGACAAATGATTGTGCAAAATGAAAAGAGGAAAGGATATTGCAAACAATGCCATCTATAAACTGTCACTCAAAAAACTTAACCACAGGATACACCAGCAATAACACAAAATATACAGCCCAAAGTGTTGAGACTAATGCACCTTACATAAAATATGGTGAATGATCTAAGAAACACAGTAACATGTTTTTGAGACTTCGTTTACAAATCTCCATATTCATATGCACTCACTCAACAGTCAACTACAAATTGTATGAGCAGCTTCCATCGTCACTTCTGACCGTTGGATCATAGTTTTCTGCATAAGGGTCGGCGCAACCTTCCTGTACAGGAAAAGCAACTTGCTGAGCTCCTTGTCCTGCATCCAAATAATAAGACCATAACATTTATTTAGTCATGTTTTGTTCAAAACACGATCTCAGACAAAAATCCGTAAGCAATTTTCACATTAAGGGCTTTAGGATCAAAGGTCTAACCGTAGAAGTTTCCAGTCTTGATAGCATCTTCATTCGCGTCTCCAAGAGCTGCCTCGCCGAGGTATTTGTCAGCTAACTGAACCCTCTTCACATTCTCTTGTTCTTGAACCAACATATTTCCATACTCTAGTAACTTCTCAATAGTCATCTTAGGCTGCTCAAAAGTTGGTGGTCCATCCTTTGAATTCACAAGCCTTTTTCCAATATGCTCCACACCAACACCAGAAATCCATTTCCTCACTTCGTCATCATACACCCTAGCCCTCAAGGCACCAAAAAAGTCTACACAAACACGCATCAAATAAGTTAATCCGAACAAACCCTGAATAACTAGAAACATAGATTGAGCCATGGCTTACCGATTGACTGTCCAGGGAATGTGTCGACAATCTTGACAATGCCATCCTTAGGGACACCATCTGACCTGAAAATACCTTGACAGACACCAATCCTATCCTCGCGAGTAGGCGCCCAATAGAATTTTTCCATACGTCCATCACGTATTAAAGGAGCATACAATGTAGAGAAGTCATTGCCAGTTACGACAATAGGGACGCGAGGATTTTCTTCCTTGTTGTACATACCCGGAAGTTGAACATTGGTAGGGTTGTCAGTAATGTTCACGAGGGTTGCATTTACGATCTGGTTGTTGACTGTGTATTGAGTAGTTCCACCAAGTCTACCAGCTCCTGCATCAAGATCATTGATGAAAAGACAACACATCTTTCCTTTTTTGATAATGTCGGCTGCCTCGCGGTACCTTTGCCTAATCAACTTTGCAGGCTCTCCAGCATTTCCACTTTCTAATTCTCCGGCACTCATCATTATAGGGCTGAATTCCAAGAAAGTAGATCAAAGAGTACGGGAGATAAGCCGTCGTAGAAACTTGGACGCGAATAAAGTAACACTTCAACAAATAAAAAACTATCAAAACAAAAAACAAAACCACAAAAGAAAATATTAAAAGGATTATCATATAACTATAAGACATAGTGTATTTAATATAGAAAAACATCCATTTTAGTACCCAGAACACACAACCCCAACATAAAACATATTCATAAACAACCATTAAAGAAAGTATGTGTTCAGAACCATTGATGCAGAAATGTTATACCATAAGCATTTATGCATAAATGAGAAGAAGCTTGAAAAGATAACCTGAGATTTAAGAAAACGAGAAGAAGCCCTCTAGATATTATTATTGCATTACAAAACCAAAAGAACATAAACAAACAGAAATCCATCCACCATAAATTGAAATAGAGCTACTTCAAAGTCAATATTGGGATGCATGATATACGTCAGAGAGACATATTGGGATGCATGATAAACAACAACATCATAATTATAAACTAAAAATACAATAATCATTAAAACTAAAAATACAAATACAACAACAATCACAACTCAAACCAAAAGCAGCAGATAAAAATCAGATCACGATGTGAAAAGGGAAATCCATCCTCAATACCATTTTAAACTTCAGTAAAAATGCAGAAAACTTCATAACTAAAGAAGTTTCATGCCTTGATTGTTACACTGCACAAGCACATACCAGATGGCCTTATGTCTGAAGTTTGCCATTCTGATCCCAAGGCGGCATTTGGATCATACAACAGTGTTTGATTAGTAGGTTCTTTTTCAACTGGAAATAGTAACAGCTTTCCGTCTAGTACGCCGAATCGAAAGCCAACACTCGAGCTCCCTGTCAATGGGACGGGTACCATTGTCCATGAGTTGTTTTCTGACTGAATATTGCCAGCTTCCGCTGATTCTTCCACTCAATACAGAACAACTTCTTTTCCAATACTGCGTGAGCAGTGACCATAACACAGCCATTCTTAATGTCGTAGAAACTTGGACGCGAGAATAGACTCTACCATCTTAGAAATTGAATTGAGTTTAACTCAACCTTTTAAAACCAGCTTGTAAGATGTAGATTGTCCCTACTTATAAACATATATTCAAGTCATCTTTCATTGTGGTAAACCATGATGTGGTATTATCTATGTATTCACTCACACCTCGTGATAAATGGTATGAAAGGGTGAAATTCCAACAGTTTGCTAAAAGTGGTTGTTTATATGAATGTCGCTAACAACAATTCACAACTCCAAGCAAAAGTACACTTACACAACTCTCCCATCATTACAATCAACCACACATTCAATAATTCGCAAGTGTATAAATATTTAACTTTATCAACACTTAACCTGAAGCTCAACGATAACCTCCGCAGAGCTATTAGCTGCATTATTCTGGGATGGTACTTCATGCACGCTACCTCTCGGAGATATTGCCTGAGGACTTTCAACTGATTGTTCCAAATAGACATGGTCATCATTTAAAGCTGAATAACTACTATTTGCCCCAAGAAAAACACAAGAATCCAAGTGTTGTCCACCCTGCAAACAGATAACCAGGGAAATTAGTTTGGGCATGCATCGAAATCTTAAATTCATAGAGTAGTCAGAGAACAAAATGGATAAAGTGAGGCACTGAAACCTTAATAACAACATTTCTAAATTGCAATTTTTTCCCATTTCCAATATAGATTATAGCCTCTGAGCTAGCTGATGTAAGATTCAAACCCCGCCCATCTTTTAAATATAGAATTCCACCATCCCCATCATAAATGAAATGATCAAAATTTTCATCATCAACTATTAAAGGCTTTTGAGGTGAGAGGGAAAATTCAGCACAAGGTTGCTTGTAGATAGACTGATCTATGATGATTGCATCCAGCATGGAGGAATTGTGTTCTTCAAATGATAGCATACTGCTGACTGTTGGAACAAAAAACTCAACTACAGCAAGAAGAAAATCTAGTGCAACAAGTAACTGAGGTCTCTGGATACACACAGAAACAAATGTTGAATCCGGACCAAATTTCATATCAACAATGAGCATTGTTTGAACTGGTTCAAAATTATTCCCTTTACTTGAGCTACTATCAATTGACTCCTGATTTTCATAATACGACAGTGTACTTGGAGGACTGGCTCCAATGCTCTCAGGCTTTCCTATTGCTAACCGAAATCCTTGTTCAACTCCTTCCCGGTCATCAAAAACACTGAAACCTTGTAGTGTTGCAGAAAGGAATCCATTTCCTGCTGTACTGGATTTGTACAGTAGCCATGCACTGCTGACCTGCACAAGAGAAACAAGAGTAGAACAATTTAATAGTTAATTGTACTATCATCCTTCATCATTTGATTGCGGGTATGGGGCAGGTTAAAGTATTGGATAATGTAAATGCATCCATAGTTGCTTTAATCAAAATAGTATAAGTTATAACATTTGGCCTACAATTATCTTTCAACAAGTGATCCATAACCCTTAAAGCCAAATCAAGTTTACCCCTCCCACAAAGACTCCCAATGAGAATATTATAAGTAACAACATCAGGTAAAAAACCTCTCTTTTTCATTCTATCAAGCACCTTATTGGCAGCATCAACTATATCAGCTTTACAGTACCCATTTAAAAGTGCTTCATACGCAAAAACATCAGCCTGGCCGTGCTTTTCCAAAATCTCCATGACCCGAATAGCTTTCTGGGTTTTCTTAGAATTGAAAAAACCATTAATCAATTTAGTGCAGAGAATGGCATCAGGTTTATAACCCCTGTCAACCATGCGCTTAAGAAAGCGGAGAGCTCGATTGTACTTAGCTGATTTGAATGACCTAATGAGAGCTTCATCGTAATCTTGATCAAGTTTTGGCCTTGTTTCATTGACCCTGATTCTTGTTCTTCGGTTGTTGGTGTTGCCTGGGGTTGAGGAAGTGACGATAGTGTTGGGATTTGAACAGCGAGAAGTGCGGTTTGGGTGGTTTCTGAAATTGAGAGTGTGTGATAAGAATTCAGTTGAAAAGGTTGTCATTGATGATGACGATGATGTTATCGGTTGTTGTTGGAAGATTTATGGCTTGAGTTTGGACAAAATTCAGTATCATAGAATGGATAAGGGACGATACATATTTTATCCTAACCAAATATTATCCTAAAAAATCATTAAAAAAAATAAAACCCTAAAACAACAAATTAGAAAACCTAACATCAGAATTTTTAAAGGTTTTGGGTGCGACGGTTGTTTTACCGTTGTGAAATGAATTTTAGGACGGATAATTTTACCGTCGTGAAAGGTTTAAGGGTGCGACGGGTGCTTTACCGTCGTGATATGCCTTTTAGGACGGTTAATTTTACCGTCGTGACTAGTTGTTGGTGAAAAATCAATGTTAAAAGTGTTAAATGGGGGCCGACGGTTGTTTTACCGTCGTAATAATAATATTATGATGGTTAAATATACCGTCGCAAAATAAATATTAGGGACGGTTGGTGTCAACTGTCGTAAACACTGTCTCTATATGTCAATTACGACAGTTATCACATAACTGTCGCAATTTTTGTGTCGTTAAACACTAATTTTCTTGTAGTGATATATCATAAACGTTGATGAAACAAAATTCATTGCATCATACATATCATGCAACATAACTTTGTGTTTCAGCTAACATTTTACCCTTTTCAGGATAAGATTAAAAGGCTTTTGTTAACAATTATTCAGATACAGTACGGATGCACCCCAGACACGGCGATCATTCTATTACTCATTCAGAACTTCAAGTCAAAATACAGTATGGATACACCCCAGACGCGGAGGTCATTCTACTACTCATTCATACTTCAGCAATCAGATACAGACTAGATACGCTCCAGACATGACTGCCATTCTATCTCTCATTCAGATTCAACTATCAACTACAGGTTCAGATACGCTCCAAACAAGGATGCCGTTCTGGTCTTTACACGAGCAGTTTGATCCCCCCAGTGCAGTCGCCACAGAGGTCTTTCTGTCACTTATTCAGATCCCAGTTACAGTACGGATACACCCCAGACACGGCGGTCATTCTACTACTCATACAGATCTCAAATTTAGATACAGTCCAGATACGCTCCAGACACGGTTTCCATTCTGTCACTCATTCATAGTTTATCCCCAACACACAGTTGCTCCATACGCAGATGTTTCTCTGTTACCTAGATACAATACAGATACACTCCAAACACGGCAGTCATTCTGATATTCATTCAAAATTCAAATACAGTTACAGCTCAGATACGCGCCAAACATGGATGCCATTCTTTTGCTCATACAAACTCAGTCTCCAGATGCAGTTCAATGGCATTCCAGACACGGATACCGTTTTGATGCTCATTCTTCTAACCTACAGCATTGCAATTCAACAAAGATTCTTGGATGGCATCTTTAAGCCCATCTCCAGCAAGATTCTACCATCTCCAAATGGCATCTTTAAGCCCATTCCCGCATCTATGTTTTGACGAGTGCAAATTTACGGGCACTCTAGTGTCCAATACTCTTTTACCTTCGAGTCGCGAAAGGCAAACTTGCCAATCTAACTCTTCAGGTTCAAGAAGATTGAACATGGGAAACTGTTGTACCCCAAAATTTGCCCTCTCATTTCATCAACATTTCTCATCATAAGACTCTTGGAACTCAAGATCAAGCTAGGGTTTGCTCTGCTCAAGACACCTCCTTGCACTGTTGACCTAAATTAGGGTTTGAGTTTGCACAGGGATATTTTGACCTACAATTCCCAAAGTGACTTTCATACTTCATGTTGGACTCACAAGTTTGTCCATACCAAGTTTCAAGCCTTGATTCAAATTTTTGCCCAGTCAATTGGACAGTTGACCTAGAAATCATCTATATTGGGGAAAAAGTCAATTGTGGCCAATTGACAGTCAAACCTCATGAATTTTTACCCACATAAACATTATGAACTCATATGAACCATTTGATCAAGTTTGGATCACAATTCCACAAGAAATTTGATCAGATCACCAAAAGGGCAAAATGGTCATTTTTAGGGTTTTGACTGCACAAAGGCAATTTTTGACTGTTTGACCTAACCAATGGCAAACCAAGCTCACACATGGACTCAAGGACTCAATGACATTGTCTTGACCCATTCAAAAAGTTCAAAAGATCTCAAATGCATAGGATTGACAAATGAATTTTTCAGTCAACTGATCAAAATTTGATTGTACACTGAAAAGTCAAACTTTGACTTTTTGGTCAAAATCAAGTGCCAAGAGTTATTTTTCATCAAGACATGTCAAATTATGAAACTTGTTCATCAAGAAACCCAAAAATGCAAATTAGGGTCTAAAATGGAAAATTTTCATAACTTAGAAATTTTCTAAGTTATGAAATTTTCTTATTTTTTCCTAACTTTGTCCCATTTTTTCACCAAGATGCAAATGGATTCAAACAAAATTTGCAACATGAAATTTGTATTCCATCACAAAGTCTACAACTTTGATTCACAAAGTTTTCTGAAAAGAAGCTTGTATCTCAAGTTATGATTTTTCGAACAAGGGTACCTAAAACTTTTAACTTAGAGAAATTTTGCCCTAGTTTAGGAAGGATTTTGACCCATCTTCTTGGCCATTTTTCACATAGTTCCACTTGGATTTTCAAGTTTAATTTCAAATATGGATTATAGTACACGTTCCAAGATTTCTAAATTGTCCAAGAACTCCTCAAACACCCTTGTGGT